TTTTTTTTTTTTATGTCTGTTGCCACTTTTTCTCAGCTCTCACTGGACCGATTTCTTTCAAAAATACGTCAAAAGATCACAAATCGTATCTAGTTGAAGACATTACCCTTAAAAATTGAAAAAAATTCCCTCGTTCCCCGCAAATGAGGGAAATATCCAAAAAAATTACAAATTTAAAAATCAGTAAATTTTGTCATTTTTCTCACTTTTTTTTTCTTAAAACTTTCATAACTTTTTTAAAAATAAACAAATCAACATAATTTTTTTTTATACTAAAACCTTAGATATTTCGTTTTCATTTGATATCATTTTGTTGAAAGTCTAACACTTAACCTGCTTATAGGGGGGGATTTAAAATAGCAACTTTTTTACAAAAACTAACTTTTTCAACTTAATTTTTAAAAATGATCAGGAAATACTGCGTCCTTTAAACATATATCAAATTAAAGCTTATTTTATATACTACAAAAAGAAAAAAAAAAATTTGTCACGACACTTTATCTTCTGCATTTAAACGGCTGCCGTAGTTAAAAAAACGCTATTCTTGTGTTAAAATTTTCGATTTTAAATTTTGAACTTAAAAATGCTATAACTATTCGAAAAATGTATGTATCAGCACAATTTTTTTTTTTCTAAATATAATATAAGTATATATTTTTCATTTGACATACGTTTTATTAAAATTGGACAAATTCCCCTTATAAAGGGGGCGTTCAAAACTTGAAATATTGAAAAAACATAGATCTTTTTCAACTGAACTTTTGAAAATGTTCCGGGAATACTGCGTCCTTTAAACATATATCAAATCAAAGGTAATGTTATATACTATCAATGGCTACCGTATTAAAAAATATGCTATTTTAACACATTTTTTTTTTTAAAATTAAACACTATCTACAGATTTGCATCGAAGCGTTTTTTATGATAGTGATTTTAATCACTGTCAGATATCATCTATACTGGACCCAACTATGCCACGACCCCACTGTGCTGGGTTTTGTTTTTTAAAAGTTAAATTAAAATATGTATAATGACATACTAATAGTCCTCATTGATTGGAATTGAGCTTTTTTTTTTACAGCCTCGCAAAAGTTCAAAAATATGAGATTTTTTAATTTTCTCAAAAAATATTTAACTTACAAAAAAAAGTTTCGTACAAAAGTTGTTTAAAAGACAATTATAAACAAAAAAAGTTATCATATATTTTTTCATTTAAACAAATATTTTTCGAGTTACATTACATTTAATATGAGTACTAAAATTTATATTCCATTTTTTTCATTTTACGGTTACTTTTTATCAT